GTATATTTCACACACTCATTGGTCCAGATAGATAATCAGAGAAACGAAGTGGGGTTAGTGAAGTGAAACAAAACGAAGTGACACATAATGCAGAAGGCGAATGAACCAACTTGATTTGACTAAGCGTAACTCAATGTTTATAGTCAGATCAAAAATACGTTACGGATACGTAATGAATAGGTTAAACAATTAACATATATATAGTCATGTAAGACGGTCAGGGTTGATAAGCGAATAATCAACAAGGTCAAATGTGACTTGTGGAGAATGAATAAATTGATCTGTCAAGACACATGTATGTTTGAGACTGATACGAATGAGAAAGGTTGAGTAGTTATGCACCATACGAACTTTTATTGTTATTTGGTCATACATTTCGCATACGTTGATTTGGTATATTACTTTTTACCATTGCTGTTGAATATATCATAATGAAATTGTACATTGTTTTAAATTTTTATTTTCCTAGCTTACATTAATCTACTTGACAATTAATATGTATTAAATAACTTCACTCTAATTGATTTTGTGAAAATCTATTCAGTTTGAAATGTTTTTATTATGATGTGGATTGTTTAACTTCGTCAGTTCAATGAACCATAGATATTATTCGCTAACAACAAGTCATAGAAGTTAGCTGATAGTAAAATGAAATCACTAACATCAACTAAGTTGACAATGAGACAATCTTTGTTGGTTACACTAATTAATGGTTGAATTTGCAAAATGTGTTATGAATGATTTGTGGTATGATAGCTCAATGGTATCTAGAATATTTGCGGTTAAATCACTTTCTGTGTTATGACTGCATATTGCTTTTTATTTGTCACCTTATATGAAACAAATAGTTAAGTTTGAGCAGTTTCCATAAGTTCTACAACCGGCACCAGTCAACGATGGGATCTATTCACAAATATGTCAAAACGGTAATTTTTAAACACCATAATAAAATGTGGTGTTTGAATGAACTAATGATTCCTTTGTACATGTTGAATGCTTGATTTCGAATCGCAAATACAGTACATTCGTTTATGCTTATCTAGTACTTCTTGATCCGATTACATTATTTCTGGGATTCTTAGTTCATATTATAATTCAAATACTTCTAATTAACACATAAAATCTATTCTCAGACCATATTTAGAAATCAGATTTTACACGTGATTAATATTGATCCATGTTAAACAACTTTCGACAACGTGATCTAAGACAACTGAACAATTAAATATAATTCATCAACAAAGTTATTTCAACATTTTTTGTCGTCCTAGTACAAATCGAGTCAAATGAAATTAAATTTATCAATAATTATCTGTTACCTTGAACCTTGGACTGTTGCTTAGAAATTTATTGTAACCCATTTTGCTATCTAACTCTAAATACCATACCCACATTTACATAGAACTTAATCAGTCACTCATGATCATTAGAAATATACAGTTTAATTTCCATGTGTGTTAACTATTTAACTGAATTCTTGATTTGTAACTGTTACATGGAAACAAACTCTTCTTAAATAGAGATAAACTAACATGAATATCACATGCATTTCATTTTAACATAATAATTTTGATAAGTAGCCAGTCACATTCCTACCGAGCATTAAATCCAGCATTTCAATTACCTCGGATCAAGTATATTACTTTGATAAGTTGGGTGAATGCAAACCTATCACTCTTACGTGCTCACTTGCCTTCTCATGGTCAAATAATAGGTGAGAATTTGCAAACAGGACACGCTATCGGAGGAAGTCGTTTGTACCAAAACTCATGATCTCAGCCTACACGTTGTTATCTGCGTCAACAAAAAAACAATTGTATATATACCTACAATTCGATTACTACTGTGTTCACATCTGATGGTTCACATTTCCAATTCCATTTGTTGTTTTTCTTTAAAATAGCAAACACTCAACATTCCCAAAAGACAATATTCTATAACTGGTTGTCTACAAAACCAGGTGAAAAAACAAACGAATAAGAAAACCGTAAAACACATTCATTTTATTAATTTCTTGCTAACCTTTACAATACCTACTTGAAAGGTGAAGATCTATATAATAATCACATGGATTTCGCAAAGATCATGAAATACATTTTGTCATGTGATAAATTTCCTGTCAATATTGTACCCGTTATTCATGTTGCGACACACATCTGAACACGCATGCCCATATATGTACATTTGCTTTGGACATATGAATTTATGCACTATGTGTATTCACTGTTTATGTAATTGATATCCTTGATAAATATTGAATGATCACTTATTTCAAACAAATATCTTTTTTATTCAATTTTGTACTGCTAAAACTATTCACACTACCACTGCTACTACTGTAATGAACGAAGACATGGTGCAGATAACCAACTTATTTTTGGATGTAAAATTACAGTGTTTTTGTGAAATATGAAAAGAGTATATTAAATACTTCATTTGTACATATTCAATCAGTTGTCTATCATAAACTTCATCGCATCTCTATTCCTGTTTTTGTTACAATAACTCCTTATTTACATTTCTGTTCTTTTCAACTAGATCTTTTCAATCTTCTGCCATCAGACATTTCACTTTTGATTGATGATACACACTACTTATGTCGGTCTACATTAGTAGCACACACCACAATATTACTGCTAATGTTACTACTAGCAACACTACGAATACTGATACATCAACCAAAGAAACAACTACTACCACTACTACTACTGCTACTATTGATGTTCTCTCTACTACTAAAAAACTGCAATAATTAAAACTAACAATGTTCATACTGTTACAACAACCAACCAGCCATAACGACTATTAATGATAATACTACTGATATTACCAGTAATATTCGTTCAAATAACCGGAATAATCTTTACAGTTAAATGGAATCAGCGAACAAGGAAAACAACAAACATGTCAGTGTAGGATATAGCACCTCATTTTCATTGGAGTCTGCATAAGTCTAATTTTGTTAAGCATGTCAGTTAAGTTATTTGACAGACAGTGTCATTCGAACAATGATAATGACTTATGAAGTAAAATTGAAATGAACTAAAATCACATTGAAATGAACTACTGGACTTGTCGTCTGTGTATCGTGAAAATAACGTTTACCTACCAACAGTATTCCCCATCTCCTTTGAGTAAAGTAATGCTGGTGTCATTCCTAGTTATAACAGCTCCAACTCATCAATTTCAAACCCTTTTCTGTGACCTTACATTTATAAAAACTGAACTGACTAAAAATCCTAATATATTGTTAAAAAACAAGAATATTGTAATGGAGACTCTTTCCTATAACTTCGTCATCGCATTCTACAGTTACAAGTTCATAATCTTTGTATCCCAAAGGCTAAAGCAGAGCATCCTAATGAACCATAAAATGTTACGTCGAAAATGATGACCTTTTGCTTCTGTTATTGGAAAAACGCTTCGAAAATGTGTCATTTGTAATCTGGAAAGATTATTCACAAATGATTGAAGTGATTTGGTGTAAGGTGTCAAATTATCATCAGTCTAATAGTCAAATGAATGATACGAACGAAATGCATAATAGAATCTAATTTGGTTAATGGAGTTAATAATAGTAATAATACCACTACCAATGATGTTAATATTAATATTAATAATAATGAAGAAAACGTCATGTGAACATAACATGCAATAAGAGAGGTGTTGTCAGGGCAATTGTTGTCAGTAATTCTATTGCATTATGAGTGGACGTTCCATTACCTATCCATGATCGCATCGTAATTGTTGCGATTGCGTCGTTCGATTGGTAAGCAGGAAAGTAGAATGAGAGGGTGTTGACTTCTAATTTAATAGCTCTTAGCCGTTTGATGCTGATGTTATCTTCAACGCCATTTATATCAATCTTACAGTATTTGAGTAAACGATAAGTGATTTGTTAGGGTCATTCTTATGCAGCTTCGAAGGGGTCGACGTAATGGGTCATGAAGTAAGAAAACATGTATACTGAATCGTGAGGTGGACTGGAACAATCATCAGTGGATTTTGGTTGGATGGGAGCAGCTTTAACTAAACCCTTTGTGTTTGTAAGCCAACTTTAATAGCAGTCTAGATCCACATTCATTGAAAAAGATGAAGGGTCTAAGAATTCTTCAGGAAGTAGGAATATTGTGATGTAGATGTGATCGGCTGCAGTGTATCTAGCATCGACTTTTGCAGAGTTTCCAACTCCAAGAAAGATAATTCAAAGAGCGTCAGTTCTTTGTAATATGTTTTCAGCTGAAAGTAAGACTATCAGGTGTCAGCGTTCTATCAAACCGTTAGCTTGTGTGTGATAGGCTGTCCTTCGGAACCGTGTAATTAATAAGAATTTGGTAAGAGAGTGGAAAAGTCTAAATTCAAACCAGGGTTCATAGTCTGTAGTAATGTTTGGAGGGTAGCCGAATTTTTCTACTTATCGTTCGATTAAGCCACAGGACACTGTTTCAACAGTAATATTTTTGATTGGTACTGCTTGCGGTCATTCGGTGAGACGGTCCACACACGTCACGAAACATGATCATTCAACTAATTATATTAAATGTCCTACCAAATCAAGCTGGGCGTGGTTGAAGAGAGTGCCAGGGGTTGTGAAAGAGCGTGAGCGATATTTCCCACATCTGACCACTTAAGATTTTCGTCAGCTTACACAAGAATTTGTCCACTTCATTAAATCTTTGTTCATACCAGTCCATTAAAGTCGTTCTCCCATTGTTAGAACATTGACCGTATTAGATGCATAACTTCAAATAAAACTTTACAATAAACTATTTGTCAAAATTTGTTTTTGTTGCAAAAAATTCACCTCCACTGGATTAATTAATCATATTATAAGCAGTATTGTCATGACAATCAAGTCTCACTAACAGTTTCTTGAATTTCATTTGCTGAAATTATTTCAGTTTAAAAAAATATGATTTGCTGTTGGATACAACCAATCAAGTAGAAGTATAACTTCATTTCCTTAGATAAACACTTAGTTCTTACTCTCTAACTGATATTTGTGATTCAAAGTGTATCTATAAAATAGTCTGTATGGCATCTAGAGAATTATCGACTGTTGAGATTGTGAATATTGAACAATCAAATGAAAGGAATCGTGAGCCACGTTGGGAACCAGATGAGGAAGGTATTGGTGCAGGAGGTGTCATACTGTTCATTCTCATAACTATCCTATTCATTTGTACATTTCCAATAACAATATTTTTTGCAATTCGTACAGTCAAAACATACGAAAGAGCTATTATTTTACGTTTTGGTCGTTTGAAACGATCTGGTGGAAAATATGTTTTAGGTGCTGGATTACAGTTTGTCATGCCATGCGCAGATCAAATGATTCGCATAGATTTGCGTACAAAGACTGTGAACATACCACCACAAGAGATATTGACAAGTGATGCAGTTACTGTCGGTGTAGATGCTGTTGTATTCATGCGTGTGATTGAACCAGCTGCCGCTTTATTAAGAGTTGAAAATGCAGCCAAATCAGCTGAGCTGCTGGCAGTTACTGCGTTGCGTTCAGTACTGGGAACATATGAATTATCTCAATTATTGACAAACCGTGACCAGATTGATTCCAAGCTGGCCATTTTACTGGACCAGGCTACAGGTGAATGGGGAATTAAGGTAAAAAAAAGCCGAGTCATTACTTGTTTATTTATTGTTTGGTTTATTAATATTTGAAATTTAATACCAATCCGAATTATCTTGTCCAAGGAGTTAACACGAATGACTTTAGTTTCCTCACTGTCGCTAAGTAGTCTTCAAATAGAATAATTGTTTCCTTTTAATTCTACAGTTATTGTTCATTCTTCACCTGGTCAAAGTTATCAGGAGAACCAGATGTACAAAATTCTTCAAAAACTTAAAAGCATAATGAGTCCCATTAAATAATAAAGAAAATGAGTTTTTTATTTGTTTAAATTAAATTATTGCTACTGTTTGAATTATCTACTATTTGTTCACTTTCAGATTAACCGGACTTTAAAAATGTAAACAGAAATAGGTTGACAACTGTCTTATTACCATATCAGATCGTTTTAAGATGTGTTCTCTGATCTGGCTGATTGATCTCAATTTCAGATTGCCATAGTAACTTTCGTTTTATTGTTGAATAGTGCGTTATTTGTATTATGATTCTGTTAATAACGTGAATGAGCTATCGACGTTTTATACTGATATTATTAATCCTAGACAGTTTCGTGCCATAAGTGTATGGGTAAGAAACTTATCACGCTGAAATTTGGTAGCGACTCGTGACCAAATTTATTTGTGTTCAATCTAGTGACCAAAGAAGTAAAAGAATTAATGGGTTTATTAAATATGAATACAAATTGAAATATAAGATGACTTTTACTGACAAGATTAAGCATTTTATACAACTTGTATTCACACATGCGTTCGAATCTGGTAGTCTGTTTATTCAACTGACAAGATAAAACATCATTTCATTTTATTTCTGGAGGAGCATATATATATATATATATATATATATATATATATATATATATATATATACATAACAGCCAACACACAACCTATTACGAACTGTGATTCCTTCAGATCATTCCCATCCATCTAACTTCAGAAATGTAGGGTCATTTAGACTGGAGAAAACCTGGAGAATATATCAATCAATAGAATTTCTTCCAAGTTGAAGGGCTAGACAAGCATGGCACAAGTTATTGCCAAATGATCTGTTAGTGTCAAATAATGATTATAAAATTTTGATAGCTAATGATTCAGTGTAAAATGTAACATGAATTTCAATACCATAGATTTTAACTCTTCACGTAACATCATGTGTGGTTAGTTTATTTGTTACTGTCCGTTAATTTTTTGATAACTGTAGGTGGAACGAGTTGAAATTAAAGACGTTTCATTGCCTCAAGAAATGCAACGAGCCATGGCGGCAGAAGCACAAGCTGTTAGAGCTTCTAAAGCTAAAGTGATAGCAGCACAAGGTGAATTAGAAGCATCGTCGACATTAAGAAAAGCTGCCGAGGAAATGGCTAGATCACCAACTGCCTTACAATTACGTTATTTACAAACATTGGCTACGATCGCAACAGAACAAAATTCAACAATTATATTTCCGTTACCCATAGAACTACTTCAAAGTTTCTTATCAAAGAAACAATCGTAATTGATGCTCTATTATTTTTCGATTGTGTGTATCTATAACCGTATGTAGATCTCCCAATCCATATTTATTGTACCTACTTTCAAGATAATTATCAAGCGAGCAAATTAACACTGATATCTTGCTGTAAAGACTGAACGTTTTTAAATAATTAATCACTGAGAAAAAATTGTGAGCAAATATTGTTACTGTATTTTCTTCAAAATCTGAAATATTCGCATAATTATTATGACTTTTATACTGTAATACTGTACACTTCTACAGTACTTGCATCAGGGATTAACAACAACGTGAAAATCACTAAGAAACGAAGACGCATTAGTTAGCTGGTTTTTCTAGCTTTAAAACTTCTCAGATAGTAACCGCTGAATCCTAAGATAAACACCACTAAGTCAGGGTAGATGCACTCCAGCATGAAGCCAAGTTCATGCTTCATTATATATTTATATATACACCAATTACTCTCTGTTTTCGTTCTATTCTCTTCGATCTTCTTAACCTTCTGCCCACAAACATTTCACGTTCGAATGATGATACATACTACTTATATCTGTTAACATCTGTGGGACACACCACATTATATGTTTTTCTTAAATAAAATGTTTGTTCATGTATACAGTTATTGTTTTTACTAATCTACCTTATTCAAAAATGCATCTACCATATCATCTGGTCATTAATATGCAGAAAATATTTTTACTTTCAATTGGTCGAATCGAATATCAACATTTTGAGATGTTGATAAGTAAAGCGAGAGTTTTTCAACTTTAGATTCTTATTTTTACGTGGTATAGATAACATTATTGGATCGTTTGTTCTTTTGTCGGATCAGTCAACGGCTATCATGGATTTATTTTTTTGATTTTGATTTCATTCGGTTAAAAATCTATATCGAGAGTCTTTAGGTATCGATGCCAATAATTTCATATTTTGGGTCAAATAGAAATTCTTTACTATCAGATGTTAGGTGTTTGGTCCTCTCTTATTACTACTACTTATTGATATTGACAGGAAACTTCTCAAGTACCAATTGTTATTTGCTTTCTTTTCCTGATGCTCAGTATGATCAATCGGTTGTTATTACATCAATTTTGCCAAGAATAAGCTCTGAAAGCAATGTTTTTTGATAATCTGTAAGATTTTTTACACAGTCTAACTACTACTGAACATATATAACTCAGCAACCACATCCTCCTTTGTATGACTGGTTGTGAGCCACGCATTTCTTGTCTGAGGAATGATGATAAAATTTGGCTGTTAAAACTGATTTATGTGGATTAAAGTTTGAACTTGTCACCTGATCGTTAAGATTTATTTCGTTTGATTAGTAAGCAACCTGTCAACCGTATATAAACAGTTACTTTAATCTATAGAAGTATGTAGCATACCTTCAACGATAGTATCCGGCTACATTTAATGCTTTTTATTTTCATGAAATCAGAACGGGTTAGTGTACCTATTAGGTACTATATTTACATATTTTATCATTACCAAAGTATCTTTGATCTTAAAAGTCCTCGCGGGCATCCGTGAAATAAAAGAATTCTAACATACATAGCATCCAGTGGACAAAATGTCTGTCGAAAAGTGTGCAGTTAAAACCACTAGACAGTCGCCTACATGAAACTGACCTCAATAATAATTCAATCTTCTTGATTCGTTACAGAAAAGTGAACTACTTGTTACTTTACTGTTCCCCTGGAAAACTACAAATTCTAAACTATCTCAGTTCAATGACAATTGAACCCCGGAACCTGGACAATACAACGAGAAAAGGAATTTGTTTGCTTACCAACTGTTTCTAATGTCAAGAATTATAGGTTGACGAATATTTTTCAATATTTACCAACCAATCCAATAAGAACACGTTTAATTAAACGTAATGTTTAAATTTCAAATGAAGGTACCCGTATTATTATTATTAAAGTATTTAAAAGGTAGAGAAATAAATTTCGCACAAAATAACCAATTATTGACCTGAAATTTCACATATTACATTAATTAAAATTGTTTTTTACCATTGTTGTCAACATATTACCACTGCCCAAAACAAAAAGTTCAAAATGTTATCCCTAAACTATCTAATTAGTGTGATTCAAATAGTCTCTTGTTTAAGTGATTTTGAAAATATCAATGTGAAATTCGATAACTATTTACGTCCAGATGAACCTGATCTTCATATGTTAGATGACTCTAATTATCAAGGTCATGAACATTATGATGATTTTGGACAACATTACAGTGAATATGACCACGATCTAGTTACTGGTTCACATGAATATTCACAAAAATTTAAAGAATTAGATCCAGAAGAAGCAAAATCACAATTAGGAAAATTATTCCATAAAATCGATACTGACAATAATTTAAAAATTGATAAAGAGGAGTTGAAAGGTTGGATTATTCAGTCGTTTATGTGAGTTGGTTACGCTTTTATCGACAAAATATTTATTTAATGGTTGAATTCATGAATCAATTGAAGCTAGACCACCACAGAAAACCTGGAAGCACTGAACGGTCGTTTCGTCCTAGTACGGGACCCCTAAGCAGTGCGTATCCACGATCTCGCTTTGTGAGGTTCGAGCCGAGTGCTTACCCTCTATACCACTGTGCCGGCATACAACGGAATCGTGAATGCTCACTCTTGAGGAGTCCCATACTAGGGCGAAACGACCATTCAGTGCTTCTAGGTTCTTCATGGTGGTCTAGCTTCAATTGCCTCATGAATTCAAATGTTAAATTACTATAATAAAAATATTTATTGTCGGTCGTAAAATACATATAGCATATATGTACACTATTAAGGAGTACCAAACTTTGACAAAAAGTATTTTCACATCAAAACAAACATCACAAACAGACTAACTAAACAATAATCACATGCTCATCGTCGACAAGCGTGAAGATGGACTCCTTAAGTCCTGGTGTGAATTCGTGACTAATGGCGTTCAAATGAGTCAACAAGTAGTGCAGTTAATCACCCATAAGTTTGAATGACATTTGGGTAATATTTCAAACTGACTGATGTCGAAAATGTGAACTTTTTGACTTTAATATAGTAATATAAATGTGGTACACTCACCATAACAGCTGATGGTTATGTGTTTAATCTGGTATCAGATAGTATTTGAAAAGTGATTAATAGTTCCGAACTAAGACAAAAAAACTTTCGGTGGTTCCAGGTGCTCCATAGGGCAGCCGGTGTTAGCCTATGATAAGAACTATTTTAAATTAAATTAATCTCCTAACACCATTCAACTAGAATTATTTTCTAAGTCGTAGAATACTCACAACCTACAGTCAACTGAAAACATTTTCAGCTTTAATATGATAATAAAGTCTTCAAATTATATTATCATTAGTCAGGAGTAAACAGATTTAGCCATTTTGATTTAATAATAGTAGACTAAGGCTGTTCAGTAAAATTCATTGGTAAAAAGTAATCAATTAGTCAATTATAAAACGATTTGGATTTAATTCTAATCTATGAAAAAAAAAGATGGGAATCCAGTAACCAAATCATTATACAATAAATAGAAGCTACCTTGGAGTTAGAGAATTTTATTTATGTATATACTATTGTCTTTGGATTTTCTACTGACTGTCGAATAACGAGTTTTTCATTAATGGCAACTAAATTATCAGATCTAACTCAGCTAAAGAATATAGCTGATTTAGACCACTCAGTTTCTATATACGTTGGTTAAAATGTCTTCCATAAATTCTATGTAAAATTGTTCTCTACGAAGAACCCTACAAAACACACATTATTTTATGGAAGTAGGTCTAGGAAGCATGTAAATTCGGGTAAAGTGAAACTTTATTCGTGTATGAGAGGTTTTAAAAAATTTTTCCATCAACTTTCTTGACCCAATGAATTCTTCAACTGGGGAACATAAGTGACAGAGATTTTTTTCTTTTAAAACGTTTGACTGAAGTTGGCAAGATAAAATTATCAGTATTTATTTAGATAGTATTGCTTGTAGTTGGATTATTTCCAATATTTGTTAAGTATCATTTAGAAAACCGTCAAAATCGGGGGAACAGTTTATGATAAGCGTGTCCTCCAGAGTATACAAAATGTCTTGAAACGTATCAGAATCAATAGTATTCAGGTATTAACAAGTGATTAGTTTAAGAATGGGTGTTTTTAATGCTGTACCGAGAGAATGTAACTCTTAGAGTTGACCACGTGTTTAGTAATACAAACTGTCACCAATAATATAAGGTTAGGTTTAATCTATATTGAGAAGATCAGTTTTAGACGGATGATTAAAAAATACAAACTTAAAAGGTGATCAAAGTAATAGATATCTATTAGTTTGAAAGCCGGCGAAAACCTCGAAATATATCACATCTGTTTCTTCCATCATCGTGGCCTCATAAAACATAGATTCCAAAGCTCTCTGGTCATATAACAAGACCGAACGACTGAGTTACAATTTAATGGTTCACAATTTTACCTTCACCTGACTCACTATATGGTATAATTGTTATTTGATATCATCAGTGACTGTATATCACACAAGAATGACTACACAGGTTACTCAGTCCCAATAAAACTTAGAAAAATGTATTTTGAATTCATTCATTATAAAGTATATAATTATCACTAACCGACTGGCAACATAGGAAGATGACCATGTTGTATCACTGTGTAATGTATCGTAAAATTATGTTACCGGTCTCTGTATTTCACTTAACCGAGTGTTGTTTTCATATCTAACAATGCATGCATACAGGATTGCAGTGTGAACACTATTCAGTCTTACAAATACTGAAGCAACAAAGAAAACTAGGATAATCACATCGCTCAAATAGACCCTAGTTAAGTATCATTAATATCTTTTCCCAATACTTGTGCTATGTTTATTAAAATTAAATTTAAAAAGAATTAATTCGTATCATCTTACTGAAATAAGTCAATTTGTGGTGTATGAGGAACAATTCAGGCAACGAGTTTCAGTTTGCACTATTAAGTATTTTTAAGATGTTTTCCAGGTTATTTTGATTATGTTGCATTCTGAGAGCTGAATGGTTTAATTAAAAAGCATTCGTTGCCATTCTGTCCAGAATCATCCATTCCTACTGCATGCGCAAATCTTATTCTTAATAATTATCCAAGAAATACCAAGGCAAGCTGTTTTAATAAGTTCGTTTGTGATTAATTGTCCCCGTAGGTTGCGTCATCTTTATGCGTCTTGAAATTGTTTATCTCCAATCATTTGATTGATGTATCATTTCCTCAAGGATTAATGAACTGACTCTATATCTATATGTTCACTAATCACAGATTAATCTGAATGGAATACTTCTAGCAATTCTATTACACCACTTGGATTTCGCTAGTACGGAATTTCCACATTTTCTCTATCAAATTTGTGGCTGTAGATGTTTACGTGTATTTTGTATAAGTGATAATATATATGTATATTCATGTAACATACGACATTCAGATGTTATCATTGTTACAATATTATTCATCTATTGGGTTCTAATCTGATAGTCTATATTTTTAATTTATATAAGTTTACAGTGCACTGTAACCATCATTCTATGCAATCACTGAGCTAAATGTGAAATTGGCTTCAAATTAATATTTCGAGATATTCAT